TGCCAATCACCTCTTTGGTACATTAATGGTTATGATAACATAGTGGCAGTGGAGAACAATGAAGAGCTGTGCCATGCAAATGGTGAGCACTGTCATTTGATCACTTTCTGACAAGCTAGAGCCCACAGTGCTAAGCAGGGGTTCACCTTGACCTCCTCCAGACTATCCTGGATGGGAAGGGGGTGGGGGACAGAAGAGATGATCTCCTTGTGTTCTCCACATCCACCTCCAACCCTGTATTTTCTGGAGACACTCAGGGAACTGTCCCACTGCACACAGCAAGCTGGGCCAAATCAGCGTGGTTCCACATTCTCCTCACAGTATCCCACATGCAGTGGGGCTCCTCCCACCAGCTTTCTATTCAAAAAGGCTTTTATTGCTCAGAAAAGCACACAGGTGCTGCTTCTGCCCCATTCAACCGGCAGGGAGAAAAAAGAGCCCACCAAGGTTGCTAGTAACCTGAATCCAGCTGTCCAGGTCCCAGGGCACAAGGCTGCAGAGACTGGCAGAGCTAAAGTCAGGAGGGAAACCCCTTATCTGGAAAACCCTCCCAGCAGGGTCCCATACAGACTGTAGTTGCTCAATCTCTCAGCAGTGAGGTTGTATTTCTGCAAGGGGAAATGGCATTTCATCTTCTTTCCTAAAGAAAAACAGGAAGAAAGCAACAGACAGAAGAGCGTCATGACACGTCACTTTGCCACATCACAGTTGTTAGGAGCTCACATCATCCCTGCCCACACCAGGCCCATAGTCTCTGGTGCTCACAGCTGCAGGGCCCGATAGATGTGTCCCCAGCACTAAGGTAAGTGGAGGCCAGAGAGCCTTGGGCCCAGGGTGGAGGAAGACCTAGTGGGGCAGAAAGGAGGGTCCCTGCTGGCTCCTCTTCCTGCGTCATCACAGCAGTGGGAGTGGAGGGCTGATTCCTGTGGAATTCTTTCCCACAGGGCTCTGATGTGTCAGAGCAGAGGATAAAAACACCAGAAGCAGTGGAGAAGCTTTTCTCATTACAGGAATTGGGGGGGGGGGTCCCTGGAGCATAGAGTTGGGTTCTAGGGTGAATTCTGAGTTGCTAGCCAGACCTGAAAGTGCAGATGCCCAGTTCTATGCTCCTGGATCTTGTTTGCTCCCCAAACTTTGGTAAGAAGTGCTTTGGTGACTGAGAGCAGCAGCTTGGTCCCCAGGGCACCCCAGTATCCCCAGCAGCTGGTTCAGTGTCTGGCTCACAGCAGAGGCTGAGTTTTGCTGTATGACGATTAGAGGTAGACAGAGGTGTTGGTGTGTCTGTGTGTCAGGGAGAAGGGACATCCTCTGGAGTCCACTCTTTGCCATAATATTGGAAGCTTTCCATCATTATCTTACTTCATCTGAAAGGTGAAGGACATTAGCTCTGTCCTGCGTGGGAGTAACCTTCAAGGACCAGATTCCCATCTGTGGTCTGTCTGGACTTAATCTCACCACATAGGCTGTCTACTTTTCAGTTAGCACTGGGCAGTGGGACAATTTAAACCAGACTCGCCCCTTCTGACTTATGAGGGAAGACAGGATACAGAAGCGCCAAACTCTGACAATGATGCAAGGATGGACTGGGTGTTCTGAGCGGCTGTCTTTGCTGTGGGGGTCAGAAGACAGAAAGAGGTCACCTTTTCTGGGGAAATGTTGCATGAAATGGGACTTTTTGTGTGTGTGTGTTTAAATCTCCTCTTTTTTTCTATAATTAAATTTTATTAATTTTCATAAACATTTACAGAGATTTTGGGTTTCCATTCATTCATTGTTGCACCATTCTCTCTACCCTCCTCCCAGTTTGTTCT